AGTTGACAGATAGTAAGCAGCAACATGCAAACCTGTAAAAACAAAAACTACTATCTATAAGATACCTAACATTGAATAGCGTATTAGTATATAAAACAAAACGCGACACATTTGAATTTGTGTATATTTGCGCAATTGAAATGTATCTAGATAGCGTTTGTAAGCTACGGTACTGCTTTGCTAGCATGATGTGTGAAACGTAAACCCCCTTACCAGGTGAAGAGCGGACGAACATCTGAAGCTAGAAAAAGACGTTAGCTACCCCGTTCCTATTATCAACATTTAAAAAACAAAAGTGGTTTTGTTTTCTCTGGGCGCAAGTTGCAGTTGCGACCGAATGCTGTGCTGTCATTCATTGAATGATGGTCCTGACGGTGACTGGTGTCGTCTCCCTCTTACCACTTCTCTAAGACCGTCAAGCCATCACACGCAAATTCAGTTCGGCGCTGATAGCCTTGCTTGACCATGGATTTGGGATTCAGACAGATGGAGCAAGAGAGGAGCCTAGTGGAGAAATATGTAAATCGCACATTGGGGCCAAAGGGAAACAAAGATACTTTTATCAGTGGGCGCGCGGGGTCTTCTTTGTTATTCGATTTTTGTAAATAAGGATGTTTGGATAGGGGAAAACAGCAATTATGCATCCTACGTCCCATTTGATTTTATGTATTTAAAAAAAATCATTAGCATAGCAAAATTGTAATAGCCTAATTTTGGCTGTTATATGTTATTAACTGATGTTAATTCATAATAGATTCACTGCAAAATAGTTGTCTTCATGAAAACCAGATGGTTAACATGAGGCAACTCATATGTGGACAGTTGCCCTCTATGGGACATGAATCCTCTTTTGGAGAGGACACAGACAAAATGCTCGAAACAAAAAACACCCGCTTCTTACTTCAAGAGCTTGTTTTTCCTTTGGGGTACTCACAATTCAATTTAAACTGAGCCTCTAAGAATGGTCACACTTGAATGAAATTGGTTTTTCGGTTGGGTAAGTTATGATTGGCTCTCAGATAAATATTAAGAACATTTACAGCAATAAAACACTAATTTCATTTTAGCTGATGGTCAGCTGATAACATAATCCTGCAACAACAGAGAATATTGTCTACTGAATTATACTAACCAAATAATGTAGATATTTTCTAAATGAAAACAATACGCAATATTTAAGATTAATCTCCTTTATCTCTTCAAATATTTTACCATTTTAAATAGGGAGCATCATCCAGCCACCTTGAACTGTGTACACATCAAAAGGAGGATCAGCTGAAAATGAGGGGGCAATTGACATTCGACCTGAATAAAATATACAGCACATCAGTTGTAATTTATTCTGCAGCAGGAAATAAAGACTGGAAAGGTCATTCATGCAACATCAGTAAATCAATAAAGCATCTATGGGGAGGTTTCACACACAGATTAAGTTTAGACTTGGACTAGGTAGCAATTTCAATGGTGAATCTCTATTGAAAAATATTTATAGTCTGACTAGGCTTAATCTGTGTCTGGGAAACCGTCCCTTGGTGTCTCAATCGCTAAAAAAATGCCCAAAATAATGGCAAAAAAAACACTTAAAAAGCCAAAAATGGCACAAAGCAATCTGAGAAAAGAGGAAACGATATTGGTGTCAATTAAGTGTGTGAACATCTGTACTACTGTGGGGTATGAGTGTAGAGGCTCTAATGAGTGGAACAGCTAGCCTCCCACTGCAGGCGGACTCATCAGGAAATGGCACACAGCCACAAAACCCAACCATCATGTTTTATAGTTCTTTTATTTAGACAACCCAAATAAAAAGGCACATAAAACATTGCACATGTTTACGTAGTAATTTCACAAACATACATTTTTTTAAAATGTAGGAATGTTTTACCTTTCTGCTAATCAGAAAGCCTAGTCTTCATAGGTATATACAAAATTACTGTTGTTAATGTTCTAATACAAAAGATTTATAAAAGGTTATCTTATCTTTCACGTCTATTGTAACTACGACATCCTCAGAACTAAAATAGTTTTGTACAAAGATATACATTCAACTGCCTTCACAGAGGTCCAAGAATTTCCAAATCATTGTTATTGTCTTCTTGTTAAAAATTATGAAATGTTCAATTTAAAATATTCACTTAGTTGTATCTCATAATTGTATCAAATTTGGCAAACAGAATACGCAATTACAGTGCATCTACTCAATGCATAAGAAAACACTTATCATTGGACTTCCTTTGAAAAAAAACTCAGGGGAAAAAAACTTGCATGCATCTTGTGTGTGTTCTTTCAGGACATACAGTGCATTCGGAAAGTATTCAGACCCCTTGACTTTTTCCACATTTTGTTACGTTACAGCCTTATTCTAAAATTGATTAAATTGTTTTTTTCCCCTCAATCTACACACAATACCCCATAATGACAAAGTGAAGACAGGTTTTAGACAGTTAAAAAACAGAAATACCTTATTTACATAAGTATTCAGACCCTTTGTTATGAGACTCAAAATTGAGCTCATGAGCATCCCGTTTCCATTGATCATCCTTGAGATGTTTCCACAACTTGATTGGACATGATCAATTGATTGGACATGATTTGGAAAGGCCCACACCTGTCTATATAAGGTCCCACAGTTGACTTGACAGTGCATGTCAGAGCAAAAACCAAGCCATGAGGTCGAAGGAATTGTCCGTAGAGCTCCAAGACAGGATTGTGTCGAGGCACAGATCTGGGGAAGGGTACCAAAACATTTCTGCAGCATTGTAGGTCCCCAAGAACACAGTGGCCTCCATCATTCCTAAATGGAAGAAGTTTCGAACCACCAAGACTCTTCCTAATGCTGGCCGCCCGGCCAAAGTGAGCTATCAGGGGAGAAGGGCCTTGGTCAGGGAGGTGACCAAGAACCCGATGGTCACTCTGATAGAGCTCCAGAGTTCCTCTGTGGACATGGGAGAACCTTCCAGAAGGACAACCATCTCTGCAGCACTGCACCAATCAGGCCTTTATGGTAGAGTGGCCAGACAGAAGCCACTCCTCAGTAAAAGGCACATGACAGCCCGCTTGGAGTTTGCCAAAAAGGCACCTAAAGGACTCAGACCATGAGAAACAAGATTCTCTGGTCTGATGAAACCAAGTTTGAACAGTTTGGCCTGAATGCCAAGTGTCACGCCTGGAGGAAACCTGGCAGCAGCAGGGACTGGGAGACTAGTCAGGATCGAGGGAAAGATGAACGGAGCAAAGTACAGAGAGATCCTTGATGAAAACCTGCTCTAGAGCGCTCAGGACCTCAGACTGGGGCGAAGGTTCACCTTTCAACAGGACAACGACCCTAAGTACACAGCCAAGACAATGCAGGAGTGGCTTCGGAACAAGTCTCTGAATGTCCTTGAGTGGCCCAGCCAGAGCCCAGACTTGAACATCTCTGGAGAGACCTGAAAATAGCTGTGCAGCGATGCTCCCCATCCAACATGACAGAGCTTGAGAGGATATGCAGAGAAGAATGGGAGAAACTCCCCAAATACAGGTCTGAATACATTATAAATTAGTAAACATTTATAGAAACCTGTTTTTGTGTTGTCGTTATGGGGTATTGTGTGTAGATTGATTAGATTTTTTTTCAATTTTAGAATACTTTCCGAATGCACTGTAGTATCCTGTACTTTACATCACACAGCACAAAAACCTTGCAAAGGTGATATGACCAAGTAAGAACGTCTTATCTAGTAATGGTAATCTAAGGGTCTCAATGCCTGAGATGTGCTGCAGAGGCCATGTTGGCCCGACTAAATTGTGTCCACCCTTCGGCTGCAGTAACACTACAACATGATCTAGTAGTTCATTACTTTCATACACTTCTCAAAAACCATTAGTGTTTTGTTCTCAATACATCAGTCACCTCATCCATCATCTAATCCATAAATCACCATGACACAGGCGGAGACAATGGATTTTTGTTCGAAAATATAATTACAGATGACATGATTATTAAAATGGACGGCTATGTTCACAAAATTAAAGAGTTCTTAGATCCCTAGTCTTTTTTTTCTTTTAGCAAAAAGGTATATGGTGAGTTAAATATTTACAAAGTAACATGGGAAAGGATCAAGTTGTGTTAGATGTGAATTAAATACAAAAAATTTATATATATATATATATATATATATATATATATATATATATATATATTACGTTTCCAGGGCTACTCTCAGCGAGTTACCTGAGCAGAAGGTCCATACTAATCGGGGTCCTCGAAAACGATAAGAAAAAGGGTATAAAATATTTCTAACAAAACTATAATCCGTCACCAACATGATAATGATAATAATCGTTTAAGAAATACAAATTTGTGAACTTCAGGACCATTTCCTCAATGGCATTTGTAAGCCACTAGATGGCCCTGTTTTTATGTAGGCTGATTACCTAACACCAATTTGATCTTTGATAATACTGCTGTTAAGTTACACATGGGATATGCTTTCAGTGCAAGACTCATTCCTCTCTCGGTTTGTGTAAAACAATTGACATCAACTGATGACCAAATAAAAGAAGCACACCTCTGCCATCCCTAACAAAGATAAAAAAACTAGCCTAACTGTACACATCTTTAACAGTCAAGAGGGACTATTTCCAGATATCCACTTCAACAAAAATACAGATTCATGTTGATGGTGAGAATACATTAACATGTACCTCAAGAGCATACCTCTTATTTGAAAAACAAAAGTTATACAGCTGTGAAAAAAGAATAACCCTCCGTCCAAATGGAAGTCTTAGTCCCTTTTGTTGGACTCATCTCCTAAAAATATTAAATAATGATTAGCAGGCTATAGATAAAACAACTTATAAGAAACACCCATTGGCTTTGCAAGAGAACTTCTGGAACAATAAAACCAGCAATTCATACTTATTGCATTAGTCCTTTTAAAAATGATCCTCTTCCAATTGCAAAGGTATGAGATCGAAGGCGTTTAGCGAGGCTTGAGAGTCCTCCCCTCTTGTTCATCCTGCCCCGACTGTAATGTTGACATCACTGTTTAACACTTCATCGACTCACTACATCTAGGTTTGAAGTCATTCAGATAATAGATAAAACCCTACCTAACTTCTACACAACTGTTCTGGTTCTCTTTTCTGTGATGTAGCATTGGTTGGGGTGGAGCCATGTGTCACAAGTAGGCTAAATGTTAATTTCCAGGTCTGAGGAGTGGGCACGGGGGTCAGGGGGCAGGGGAAAGATGGGGGTAAGGGGGAGGCGTCATCATTTCTTGTTTTACCAGGGTGGGGACGAAGGCAGGACTTGGGACAGAAAAGGCATACTCTCCATGGACCTCATGGCGATGTTGAGGGGCCCGGACATTGTCATGGACATGGGGGTGCTGATGGCCAGAGGGTGGGCGATATTCATGTGTGCTGTGGAAGGGATGTTGATCGAGGCGATGTTGACGGGCCCAGTGATGGTGACAGGGTGCTGGAGGCTGACGTTCACTGTGTTGGTGGAAATGTTCATTTGCGACGCTATGGTGACGGGGTTGTTGATGGAGTTTCCCCGGTTCATCGTGGTGGTGATGGGGGTGGAGGCTGTTACAGGTGTGGCTGACGCAGAGTTGTGGATGTCATTACTGTCTAGAGAATGGGATAGAGGATATAGTGTTTAAGTTCCACTGCTAAACCAAGTCAAACAAATACCTTTACACAGATTTACTGGTTATTCCCCACCATTAAAACAGAGGGAGGAATGCGGTCTGTACTCTGGACTATTTCGCACAGATTATTTTTTGCAGTGTACAGAGATTATTTTTGTAGTATATGCCTTCAGCGTTCTTCTCTTTTACTGCTACTGCCTTGACTCACCTGCAGCACCGATTGAACTAAAACTGACCATAATAGTAATAACCATTTCCCACTTTTCTTTAAAATGTGGCAAATACATGCTCTTCTAAAAAACAAATACTGAAGCAGGTAAATCATTTACAGGTTAAACTGTTTAAAAAATGAAACATCTCTAGTGGTCATTCTTGCTGTACATAGTATAGTAAAACAGTTTTAAATTAGGGCACAGAAATCTCCAAGACAACATTTCTATGAATGCAATGTTGATGCAATGTTTGTAAATGATGTGACACACTGTCATGCAGCGTTTCCCCTATATTAATTTAGCAGCCGCGCATTTCTGAGTTTACCCACATACTAACATCTATTTGCCTTATACTTGTGTGTGTGATGTGACTGTGTGTATTCTTGGGTTGCGGGCAGGGGGTTGGGGTAAGGTTTGGTTTTCACACAATGCTACATTATTATTACCTTTTCGTCCCCCTGAGGAGTTCCACTGCCAGTCCCCTATTCAGAAATAGACACACAGCGGTTATAAAGGACTGTCTGCAGGCTAGCCAAGGCTGCTGCGCTAGGGCCAGGGTGCCTCTCTCTCAGTGCACTCTGCAGGCCCCACTTCAGGTGGGCAAGGTTGGTACACACACCAGAACGGTGGGCACACACCCTGGCCTGCTAGTCCATAGGTGGAAGAAGGGAACGGGCCATAGGATTACTGTGGTGAGAAGCACTATCCTATTTGTAGAGTTCTCTGTGCTGTATATGTCTGCCTTGTGATGTGGACCCTTGGGAGAAGGGTGGCAGTGCTTGTTCAGATGGCAGCTAATGCAGAGTGAATAAACAACATAGTAGTGAAGGCCTTTCCCTTCAGTGGCCAGGGAAAGGCCTTGTTGCTTCTACTGTCTGTGTAACGGAAACAGGAATCTGAGAAATGTTGATTATACTTTGTTATTGACTACACCTTTTGAGCAGTGATTCATGTGTAATGCAGTGTTCTCCAGATGGGAAGAGATTAACAGGGTGTCGGCCTACATGTTCCACAGCCACAGGAGAATCAAACCAACAGGTTGGCTAACAGCACTTTGACAAATGGAAATTCACAGATGACTAAACAAACAGGAAATACACACACAGCTATAGCGTGAAGGCTGAGGAAGAAGCCAGTTATTGGGCTGTACTTGACAACGCTATGTATTATACACTTACAGTATACACTGCGTGTACAAAACATTAGGAACACCTTCCTAATATTGAGTTGCACCCCCTTTTGCCCTCAGAACCGCCTCAATTTGTGGGGGCATGTACTATACAAGTTGTCGAAAGTGTTCCACAGGGATGCTGGCCCATGTTGACTCCAATGCTTCCCATAGTTGTGTTAAGGTGGCTGGATGTCCTTTGGGTTGTGGACCATTCTTGATACACATGGGAAACTGTTGAGCGTGAAAAACACGGCAGTGTTGCAGTCCTTGACACACTCAAACCGGTGCACCTGGCACCTACTAACATACCCCGTTCAAAGGCACTTAAATCTTTTGTCTTGCCATTCACCCTCTGAATGGCACACAAACACAATCCATGTCTCAATTGTCTCAAGGCTTAAAAATCCTTCTTTAACATGTCTCCTCCCCTTCATCTACACCAGGGTTCTTCAATTCCGGTCCTGGAGGGCCGAAACACCTCTGTTTTTCACCCTCTCCTTCTAATCAGGGGCCAATTCAGACCTGGGACACCAGGTGAGTGCAATTAACTACCAGGTACAAATAAAAAACAGAAGTGTTTCGGCCCTCCAGGACCGGAATTGAAGAACCCTGACCTACACTGATTTAAGTGGATTTAACAAGTGACATCAATAAGATTCACCTGGATTCACCTGGTCAGTCTATCATGGAAAGAGCAGGTGTTCCTAATGTTCTGTGCACTCAGTGTATTTAAATGGTTACGGTACCAGGGATTTTTCTGAATTACTTACTAAGCAGTAATACAAAGTAATCCTGAGTCCATAACACCAAAGATATCAATAACACTAACGAGAAAGACTGATGGAAGAGCAATCCTCTGACAAAAACCCTGCCCCCCTCTTCTAATTCTCGTGCAAGTTGCACAAATCAATTGAGTGGAGATGAGATATCACTGTGTTCCACTTTCCTCTGCTCCTTTGTGCTCAAACACAAGCCAATTGCTGAAAGCGCTTTAAATTTAGAACAGATTTTTGCCACAGGCCATTCACTTCTGTCAAGCAAAATATGTCAAATTACATACCACGTGCAGACAAAATAAATATTAAAACATAAAGTATAGCACAGCGTATACATCTCTCCACTCAACGGATTGTAACATCCAATTCATGTTTGAAAACAGAATGTAACTCAAGAGAAAATGGGGAAAATGTAACTAGCAAGGAGGACATGGTAATGCCTATCATGGTAAATGTCAGGTGGGACCTTCTATGTCCCGTAGATCTACTACACAGAATGAAACCTGCCTAAGGTTAAAGTCAGCACCAATCAAACATGAGATTTTCACTGTAATGTGAAGTCACCTAGTGAGGTTATCCCTGGCCTCTGGTACACCTACAAATTAGTGGACTTGGCTATTTCAGCCACATCTGTTGCTGACAGGTGTATCAAATCGAGCACATAGCCAGGCAATCTCCATAGACAAACATTGGCAGTATAATGGCCTTACTGAAGAGCTCAGTGACTTTCAAGTGGCACCATCATAGGATGCCACCTTTCCAACAACTCAGCAGTTCGTTCTACCCTGCTAGAGCTGCCCCGGTCAACTGTAAGTGCTGTTATTGTGAAGAGGAAACGTCTAGGAGCAACAACAGCTCAGCCACGAAGTGGTAGGCCACACAAGCTCACAGAACGGGACCGCCGAGTACTGAAGAGCGTAAAAATAATCTGACCTCAGTTGCAACACTCACTACAGAGTTCCAAACTACCTCTGGAAGCAACGTCAGCACAATAACTGTTAGTCGAGAGCTTCATGAAATTGTTTTCCATCTTCCATGGCCGAGCAGCCGCACACAACCCTAAGATCACCATGTGCAATGCCAAGCGTCGGCTGGAGGGGTGTAAAGCTCGCCACCATTGGACTCTGGAGCAGTGGAAACGCGTTCTCTGGAGTGATGAATCACACTTCACCATCTGGCAGTCTGACGGACGAATCTGGGTTTTGCGGATGCCAGGAGAACGCTACTTGCCCAAATGCATAGTGCCAACTGTAAAGTGTGGTGAGGAGGAATAATGGTCTGGGGCTGTTTTTCATGTTTCAGTTCCAGTGAAGGGACATCTTAACGCTACACAAATACACTGACATTCTAGACAATTCTGTGCTTCCAACTTTGTGGCAACAGTTTGACAAAGGCCCTTTCCTGTTTCAGCATGGCAATGCCCCAGTGCACAAAGCGAGGTCCATACAGAAATGGTTTGTCGAGATCGGTGTGGAAGAACTTGACTGGCCTGCACAGAGCCCTGACCTCAACCCCATCAAACACCTTTGGGATGAATTGGAACGCCGACTGCGAGCCAGGCCTAATCACGCAACATCAGTGCCTGACCTCACTAATGCTTGTGGCTGAATGGAGGCAAGCCCTCGCAGCAATGTTCCAACATCTAGTGGAAAGCCTTCCCAGAAGAGCGGAGGCTGTTATTGCAGGGGGGACCAACTCCATATTAAAGCCCTGATTTTGGAATGAGATGTTCCAACGAGCAGGTGTCCACATACTTTTGAACATGTAGTGTATATCTTGTGATATGTGTTGTCCATAAGTGAAGTGGTGTAGGCTATGTGCTGTGTTTTTGATTTTGTGTGTATGTGTATGCCATGAGATGCTGTATGTTGCCAGACAAATTTCACCTAAAGGGACAATAAAGTATTAAATCAATCAAATAAATTAAATTAGGAATGTAAAACATGAAGACAGTTCATTTAAGTTGGGAGGGGGGCAGTGGCTGGTGAGATAGGGCTGACGTGACGTACCTTTGTTAGAGGAATTAAAGTTGGTCTGGCCGTGTGTCTTTAGATGGCTGGTGATGTAGGCTGCACTCAGCATCTTGCCGCAGATGTTGCAGGTGACCTTCCCTTCATGCCGGATCATGTGGGAGCGCAGTCTGTCTTTGGTGGCGAAGGCAGAAGTACAGGCCTGGGGGAGGACAGGAGAACAGGACGGGGTCAGAAGGTCAGGCCAGAGGCACACTACTATTCATAGGGCCACCCAGCTTCGTGCTCCAGCTTGGTGCCAAGTGCAGCTTTATTCATTTATCTAACACAGCCTGCTTTCATCATTCAGACTGCATGGAACATGTCCAACTTTAAAGGCTTATGGATCATCATAAATCTCTATTGGGGCCACAGGGCATAGCCTACTGGAGTATGCTGTCATGAGCAGACTGCCATTATGGCACTATCTATGACTAATGGGCTCATTTTAAAGACACTAGTCGAGCACAGTTATCTTTATTCCTTTCAGTGCTGGAAACTAACAAGTACTGTCCGAGCTGGCAGAGAAGAAAGTGCAAAGTGGGAGAATTCATGCTAGCTGACAGACATGCAGCTCAAGTTGTCAATAATGAGCTGTTGACAAGTGGCCCTAATAAGGCCACACAGTACAGTTCTCTCTCTCGCTTACCGTTACTTGGCATTTGAACGGTCTTTCTGAGGAGTGGACATGCTTCACGTGGCAGCTCAGGTGGTCTGGCCTGGAGGAGAGAGGAGAAAAAAGTCACAATCTTGCTGTAGAATATTAATGGACACACAACAGTCTGTTTTCTGCCCTTTTCCAGTGAGACTCCACTGTTCACACAGCCCACTCATCGCAGCTCCCAGAGGTACCATTAGTTGGACTGAAAACCCGGACAACAGCAGACAGGCTAGGAGCTAAATCATTTCATCACTGTCATAAGGAATGATGTGGAGAACTCCAAAACTAACAGCTGGGCCAAAGCGAGACAGTTTCACACTGGTAGTGGTTATGTTACAAAGGAGAGGAGTCAAGTGGAATCTTTTCAGGAGTGCTGTGAACCAGAATGACTTCTCTTCTTTTTCACTGTTAACTGAAGAGGACATCAGCTTCCACACACACACAGAGAGAGAGAGAGAGAGAGACAAGAGAGAGAGGGGAGCGAGGGGAGCGAGAAGAGAGAGCGCCTGCAACCTGGCAGGCTGTCTGACAGTGACTCTGAGTTGCGTTATTCTGCCGGCCTCTCACTTTTCAGTGTGCCGATAAACCTCTGCGTCACTGTGTTGGAACCAAGCCGGGTTCTTCCCTTAACTGCCCAGCTCTAAGATTACAGTTTGGACAGACAGCATAATGTAGGGTGTTCACCCAACCCATAAAATTATTATTTCATTCAATGTTTATAAAAAAAAGATTCAGTCAATAGAGAATTGCATCAGAAATAAAATAGTCCAAACCCTATGTCTACCATATATGGTTAACAAGTTACAGACAATTTACTCCGAGAATTTAGCATGATTAGAGTTAATACAATGTCATTACGGCCATAGTCAAAAAGTGGTCGCTGCTCTAAAGAAATGTGTCACTGCTCCGTGGGCAGAACGGCACCAACTTCAAAATGTCAACTGACAAACTAGCTAGTGGCTGCAGGTTAGTGTGTGATAATAGGGTTTTTCTAAATTAAATCTGCAGACTACAAAACAAAAAATTGGGTCTATATATTAATTTACAAAGCTAACAGACTGAGTTTAAAATATCTACCCTCCCAAAGACAATCTGTTCCAGTTCATGGTGTATTTATGAGTCTTTCCCTTTAAAACGCCATTGAAAACAGCCCCTCAAGGTTGAATGACCTGGGTTAGAGGAATACAATACCACGGATCTGGTGATGAAAATTACATGAGTATCAAGTTGATTTTGATTGTTCCAAAGCATGGAAACACCTCTAAATGTTACCACCTCCCAACGCCGAAAAATGGAGGAGATGCAACCAACCGTTTAAATTAGCAATGGTCACAACAAACTAATGTTCTTATTTAATCTAGGGGTGTGAACGTTTAAACGTTAAAACATTTAAAGCTGCAATATAACTTTTTGGGTGATCCGACCAAATTCACATAGAATGTGTTATAGATCTGTCATTCTCATTGAAAGCAAATCTAAGAAGCGGTAGATATGTTCTATATGTGCTATTTCTATGCTTCCCTTAAGTTTTGTTTTTTTGCGTCTTTTACTTTCGGTTTTGTACACCACCTTCAAACAGCTGAAGATTAGAGACCAACCGATATGGGATTTTTGGGTCCGATACTGATTTTAGGGAGGGAAAAGTAACCGATTACAATATATCTGCCGATATGTTTTTTTGTGTGTTTTTTTGGTGGAATGAAACAGACCTTTTTTTCACAAATTGTGCTCCAAAGGATTAACATGTACTCTAAATTACGACTCTTAAAGATGCATGATGCAGAAATCGCTGCGCTGGTTCGCATAGTTCGCTTAATTTCAGTTTATGTGACAAAACAAGAAAGTATAGTGTAGAGAATCATTGTACAGTGTGAAATATATTTTCTATAAACAAAAAAATTGTATTTTCAGCTGGTGTACAAAACTGAAAGTAAGACGCAAAAACTAAATTTAAGAACGGGAAGCATAGAAATAGCGTACATAGAACATATCTACTGCTTCGACTTGTTTTCAATGAGTGACTGATCTATCACATATTTCTATGTGAATCTGAGTGGGTCACCCAAAAAGTTTCATATTGCAGCTTTAACTAGTTTACATGATAACCACCAAAAAGCAACTATATCCTCTATAAATACAAAACACTTGTTCAGTTTACTTCAGGTACAACGTAAAGATTTGTCTATCTAGGGCAGTGGCTAAGACTGCAGAAGTGTTTATGCTGAAGCACCACAAACACACTAATAAAACTTTGTCTCAAAGTAAATCTGTTCACAAACTATGCAGTGAAAGTTCAAACTATTCAGTGAAATGTAATAACATCGAGTTTGTAATGTCACCACTATGTGTCAGCATTGAGTAGATTCACTACAGCGCTTTACTACAGTCAAAGTTCATTTAAAACAAAAACTTTATGGCAACCTAGCAATGAAAGGGTTTCCACTAGTTACCACAATCACAAAGTAAAAATTGGCCGATATCGTAAAAATGTATTAAAACAAAACATAGCTTTTTGGTCTTAATTTGAGGTTAGCAGTAGCGTTCACATTTTAAGAAGATAAATTGTATAAACCCTTACAATTACATTTTAGTCATTTAGCAGACGCTCTTATCCAGAGCGACTTACAGGAGCTATTAGGGTTAAGTGCCTTGCTCAAGGTACGTAACGTAACAAAATGTGGCGAAAGTTAAGGGGTCTTAATACTTTCTGGCTAGCTAGTGAGCATGTGATGAGGACAGGGCTGCTTGCTTGGTGAAGTGTGTTACCAAAAATTGTCACTCAAACAGAAGGGGGAACTAACAAAGAGTCACTAACAACCACCAAAACAGGTACGTTCTAGGAGGGGTAATGAAAATACACTCATGGGGTGTCCACTGAAAGTAGACTAGCAACAACAACAGACTAGACATCCACCATGAGCGCCCACTAAATTTGCCCAAGAAGAGGCAAACAAAAGAAAAACCCACAGCAAACTTGAAAACAGGAAGCAAACCAAAAATTGGAACAGGGATGATCAGATAAAGGATTGTTTTTCTACAAATGAAATAGGGAGAGCCAACTAAAAAGGTGTTAACCCTCCAAGACAACTGGAGCACTGTGCCAGGACAGGTGAAACACCTGACTAACAAGATGACAAGCCAGCACAGGTGTAACACATACTAACACGCTGACACCAATCGGTGCGCCCAACGTGCTAATGTCCAACCTCGAAATATAAATGGAAAAACCAAAGCGTACTTTACTTATTCAAATACGCTGTCGCTGGCTGTGGCAAAATACTCACCATCAAACCACCATGCCTCCTCTTTCTCACGTCTTGACTTGCTTCCATTCAGCCACAAGAGCATTAGTGAGGTCGGGCACTGATGTTGGGCGATTAGGCCTGCCTCGCAGTCGGCGATCCAATTCATCCCAAAGGTGTTCGATGGGGTTGAGGTCAGGGCTCTGTGCAGGCCAGTTAAGTTCTTCCACACCGATCTCGACAAAGCATTTCTGTATGGCCCTCGCTTTGTGCACAGGGGCATTGTCATGCTGAAACAGGAAAGGGCCTTCCCCAAACTGATGTCACGAAGTTGGAAGCACAGAATCTTCTAGAATGTCATTGTATGCTGTAGAGTTAAGATTTCCCTTCACTGGAACTAAGGGGCCTAGCCCGAACCATGAAAAACAGACCATTATTCCTCCTTTACCAAACTTTACAGATGGCACTATGCATTGGGGCATGTAGCGTTCTCCTGGCATCCACCAAACCTAGATTCATCAGTCGGACTGCAAGATGGTGAAGCGTGATTCATCACTCCAGAGAACGCGTTTCCACTGCTCCAGAGTCTAATGGCGGTGAGCTTTACACCACTCCAGCCGACGCTTGGCATTGTGCATGTTGATCTTAGGCTTGTGCACGGCTGCTCGGCCATGGAAGATTTCCTTGTCAAAAACGTAAAATATTAATGACCGATTTCTTGAGTTTTTATTTTGAGGAAGTGGCTACGGCGTCTCAAGATGGACAAACAGTACTATATTTTTCTCGTTTTAAAGCGTAGGTTGAAGGTATGCGAGCACACTCGTTTGGTTCACCTAGCAGAGTTTGACTAGGCACCAGCTGAACCGAAGCATGCAGAAGCCTCAACTTGCCACACAGAGCCTCGAGCTCTATTACTGTAGCCTAGTGCTGGTTTTATGACTTGTGATTGGACAACAACAAAAAGCTACACGCGCCACTCTCGTGAAAACCAAGAACAGCAGCATCATAAATGATAAGCACGATGTAGACCTTCTGTATTGCGAATTCACATGGAATTTTATGACTTTTTCTTATCGCTTTAACAGAAAACCAATAAAAATGGCAGTTTAAACATTAAGGAATTTTCTATTTGTCACATTCCTAATTGAATCACTGTTAAGTAAAAGCACATTATGGTTGTAATATTATAGAGAACAATCTAATGGTTAGTTATATGTGATTCATAATGAAATAGTTTTCTTTGCCTTATGTTTAGACATTAATTTAGTAGCACCCTCTTGAATTTACCTGTATTTCACTAATCAAATCAATTTTTATTTGCCACATTCGTCGAATACAACAGGTGTAGACATTACCGTGAAATGTTTACTTACAGCCCTTAACCAACAATGCATTTATTTCTTAATAAAATGTAAAATAAAACAACAACAAAAAAGTGTTGAGAAAAAAAGAGCAGAAGTCAAATAAAATAACATTAGGGAGGCTATATACAGGGGGGTATCCTGTCAATGTGCGGGGGCACCGGCTAGTTGAGGTAGTTGAGGTAATATGTACATGTGGGTAGAGTTAAAGTGACTATGCATAAATAATTAACAGAGTACCAGCAGCGTAAAAAGATGGGGTGGTGGTGGGGGGGCAGTGCAAATAGTCTGGGTAGCCATGATTAGCTATTCAGGAGTCTTATGGCTTGGGGGTAGAAGCTGTTGAGAAGCCTTTTGGACCTAGACTTGGCGCTCCGGTACCGCTTGCCGTGCGGTAGCAGAGAGAACAGTCTATGACTAGGGTGGCTGGAGTCTTTGACAATTTTGTGGGCCTTCCTTGACCACCGCCTGTTATAGAGTCCTGGATGGCAGGAAGCTGGCCCAGTTGATGTACTGGCCATACGCCCTACCCTCTGTAGTGCCTTGCGTGGAGGCGAGCAGTTGCCATACCAGGCAGTGATGCAACCAGTCGGATCTTCTGATGTTGGCAGCTGTAGAACTTCTGGGGTCTGAGGACCATGCCAAATATTTTCAGTTCTTACCACCTGGGGGCGACCCGTCGGAAGTCCAGGATCCAGTTGCAGAGGAGGTGTTTATCCCAGGATCCTTAGCTTAGGTGATGAGCTTTGAGGGCACTATGGGTTGAACGCTGAGCTGTAGTCAATGAATAGCATTGTCACGTAGGTGTTCCTTGTCCAGTGGGGAAAGGGCAGTGTGGAGTGTAATAGAGATTGCATCATCTGTGGATCTGTTGGGGGTATGCAAATTGGAGTGGGTCTAGGTTCTGGGATAATGGTGTTGATGTGAGCCATGACCAGCCTTTCAAAGCACTTCATGGCTACAGACGTCAGTGCTACGGGTCGGTAGTCATTTAGGCAGGTTATCTTAGTGTCCTTGGGCGCGGGGACTATGGTGGTTTTCTGGATTTTTGTTTTAGATTCCATCTCTCACAGTTGAAGTGTACTTATGATAAAAATTACAGACCTCTACATGCTTTGTAAGTAGGAAAACCTGCAAAATCGGCAGTGTATCAAATACTTGTTCTCCCCACTGTGTGTGTGTATATATATATATATATATATATATATATTCTCTGTTCGTAGGAGTAACATGAATTTGTGCATGAGGCAGAAATAATGCGGTGCGACTTGAGTTTTGCCATCAGCTGGAAGACGGTGTCCCTTTTTGGTCAGTGTCAGCGGTGGAAAGGGAGAGCAGAGGGATGATGAGGCGGACCCTCAGTCTGCTGCTCTCTCCTTCCGCTGACATGCAGGCCCAGTACATTTTTTATAAAAAGCAAATTATTTAAAATATATGCTCACTCTGCTGTGCCTCACAAGTAATACAACAACTGATCTATTACCGGTGTGATCATATAGCCTACCTCAAATTATGAAATATATATACTACCGGTCAAAGGTTTGGACACACCTACTCATTCCAGGGTTTTTCTTTATTTTTACTAGTTTCTACATTGTAGAATAATAGTGAAGACATCAAAACTATGACATAACACACATGGAGTCATGTAGTAACCAAAAAAGTGTTAAATAAATCCAAATATATTTTATATTTGAGATTCTTCAAATAGCCACCCTTTGCCTTTGCACACTCTTGGCGTTCTCTCAACCAGCTTCATGAGGTAGTCACCTGGAAGTCATTTCAATTAACAGGTGTGCCTTCTTAAAAGTTAATTTGTGGAATTTCTTTCCTTCTTAATGCATTCGAGACAATCAGTTGTGTTGTGACAAGGTAGGGGAGGTGTACAGAATATCCATATATGGCAAGAACAGCTCAAATAAGCAAAGAGGAATACAGTCCATCATTACTTTAAGACATGAAGATCAGTCAATACGGAACATTTCAAGAACTTTGAACGTTTCTTCAAGTGCAGTTGCAAAAACCATCAAGCGCTTTGATGAAACTGGCTCTCATGAGGACCACCACAGGAATGGAAGACCCAGAGTTACCTCTGCTGCAGAGGATAAGTTCATTAGAGTTACCAGCCTCAGAAATTACAGCCCAAATAAATGCTTCAGAGTTCAAGTCACAGACACATCTCAACATCAACTGTTCAGAGGGGACTGTGTGAATTAGGCCTTCATGGTCGTATTGCTGCAAAGAAACCACTCCTAAAGGACACCAATAATAAGAAGAGACCTGCTTGGGCCAAGAAACACGAGCAATGGACATTAGACCGGTGGAAATTTGAGATTTTTGGTTCCAACCGCTGTGTCTTTGTGAGATGCGGTGTGGGTGAACGGATGATCTCAGCATGTGTAGTTCCCACTAAAAAAACATGGAGGAGGAGGTGTTATGGTGTGGGGGTGCTTTGCTGGTGACACTGTCTGTGATTTATTTAGAATTCAAGGCACACTTAACCAGCATGGCTACCATAGCATTCTGCAGCGATACGCCATCCCATATTTTTTGGGCTTAGTGGGACTATCATTTGTTTTTCAACAGGACAATGACCCAACACACCTCCAGGCTGTGTAAGGGCTATTTTACCAAGGAGAGTGATTGAGTGCTGCATCAGGTGACCTGGCCTCCACAATCACCCGACCTCAACCCAATTGAGATGGTTTGGGATGAGTCAGACGACAGAGGGAAGGAAAAGCAGCCAACAAGTGCTCAACATATGTGGGAACTCCTTCAAGACTGTTGGAAAAGCATTCCAGTTGAAGCTGATTGAGAAAATGCCAAGAGTGTGCAAAGCTGTCATCAAGGCAAAGGGTGGCTATTTGAAGAATCTCAAATATAAAATATTATATTTGTTTAACACTTTTTTGGTTACTACATGATTCCATATGTGTTATGTCATAGTTGATGTCTTCACTATTATTCTACAATGTAAAAAATAGTCAAAATTAAGAAAAACCCTTGAATGAGTAGGTGTGTCCAAACTTTTGACTGGTAATGTATAATTATTTTAATGGTCCGAACAACAGGGCAATTCAAGCAAAACATATATGCGGTGATTATGTATTGGGCCAATAGCCTACTGCACAAACCTCATTGCTACAGTACTGTTTTAAATAGGTTAATGTTGCATAGGCTTACGTTTAAGTCATGTTCGAAAACAATTCTGAGCGGTATATCTCGGCTTGCATTTTGACTCAGAAGGTGATCTTGACTCTTGACCACTGGAATCCATTTACTCACAGCAATTATTTGCTCTTATTTGAACAACTAACAAGCTGTAAGAAGAGCCCTTTGCTTCTTGGAAAGATTTTCAATGGTGATTTTGTCCATTTGCCATTACTCATGCCCACAGATTACTAGTGACGCATAGCTGGAAGTAGTGAGTGGATGTTGCAGTAAATGTTGAAAGAGGCCATCTTACAAGGCCACTGTTGGCTATGCCTGGAAAGACTGGAATGCTCAGTTATTCCAGATGGGTCAGACTGGGCCCTGTAAAGGTGCATCGTATGCGGTCCGTTCCCAAATTTTGATGCACAAATCAAAGCAGCCTTTCCCCTCCCCCCGCCTCACTCCTCTGCCTGCATGCCTGTCCTCGCAGGGGGGAACTCTGGGACACTGGAGTTGAACTGCTCTCTAAAGCGTGACTGTTTAAACATGTTGGGGACCACAAAGGCACTGAGTCAAGACCATTAAACGCTAATATAAATCCATGAGGGCAGCAGCCAATGGGACGTGCACAACGTTAACGTCACATTGAACAACAGATGGTCATACACTCTCCATCTCAGTGTATCTCTAAGTGCTTGTCTAACACCATATAGAATGTGTTGGCTAATAACCGTGTACTAACATGATCTGAATTAGCTGATGTCTGATTTCAAATGAGATTGTAATAAATAGCAAGCACTTCTACTTGAAATATGTGGCAGCTAGCGAGTGTTAGTGAATGTGCATGGCTGGGCCTGGGGCCTACCTGGAGAAGCCTTTCCCGCACACGGAACAGACATAGGGCTTGTGGACTCCTCCGTCGTGCGAGCGCACGTGGTAGGTCATGCGGTCCTTCCTCTTGAAGCGCTGCTGGCAGATGGGGCATTCGTAGGGCTTCTCGTCCGAGTGGGACAGCTTGTGACGGTTCAGGTGGTAGACGTCTCGGAAGGCCTTGCCACACATCTCACAGCCATGGTTCTTCTTCACTGGCTTGGAAGGCTTCTTGGGCTGGCTCTGTTGGGGTACGTTGATCATAGAGGCTGGCGACATGATGCTAGTGGCTGGAGACATGATGCTGGAGGCTGAAGACACAGAGGAGGTGGCCGTGGTGAGCATGCCTGCGATGGTGGAGATGTAGGAGGGCTGCCCGCTATTCTCCCTGGGCAGGGTGGAGATGAGGGGCACCATGGTGGGGGCTGTCTGGGCTGTCTTCTTGGGCCGCGACACCATCTTGACGCCCGTGTGGCAGGACTCGTGGCGCCGCAGGTGGTAGCTGTCACGGAAGGCCTTGTTGCAGTAGCCGCAGATGAAGGGTGTCTTGCTCTTGTGCTCCTTCTTCACCACAGGCATGGGTCCCCTGCCGCCGCCAGTCCCGCAGGCCACATTGTCTTTGAGGAGCTCGGCGGCGCTGGCGGGGGGTTTCTGGTCCAGGGAGATGGGCATCACAGGCTTCTGGTCCACCGGCTCGTTCCCAGAGTTGAGCAGTGGCAGCAGGCTGTTCTGGGCCACCTGGTGCTGGTGGTGGAGGGCTTCATTGGCCTGCTGTAGAGACATTACATTAAATCACAGCAAGGTGAAACACAGATCAACAACACAGTTCAATTCTCAATCAACACAATATTACAGTATTACCAGTAGCCTGAATGTCTTTCTAGCAGGTGGCCCTTCCTGTTGGAATGGACAGGGTAGAACTATAGGTTGAAAATACCAGCCTTTCTTGCTCTGTCTGCTACAGGCTAGTTATAAGAGACAGAGCACTGAAAGTTCAGGTTTTATTTGTGTTACTCAATACAGCCACATTCACCTCACATCCTTTCTCCTTTATGTAACCCAGCACTTTTTGGAGATTAGCCTACATCTTCACATTCCTCCTTTATATAACCGCTTTTGCGGTGAGAAAATAGTTTGGAAGGAAATTAATTTAGCATTAGTCTCTCTTTGTGTTGTGTTACTGGCTTACATAGCCTACTGGGAATACCCTAATCTGGGAGCCATTCATATGCAACAACTATTGAGAACAGCTTAATCTCAATGCCATTCAAAGGCCACATCTTAAAATGCTCTGGTGCTGCTGGGGAGGCTTTGCTTTGGTGACTTGTCCGCCTCAGCCATAGCCTGGGCCTAGAAGCTCCATGTGTTTGCACAACACATGGAGATTCAACACGGTCTCTGTGCGGTGGTTCTTCAATTTCACCCTGAGAGCTTGTGCCCTTTCTGAAGTTAGTTCACAGCTCCGCTGAAGTGACCCTTGAGAGAGTTGGAGAGTTAGAGCGCGGCTGTCTGCGGGTGTGACTGCGAGAAAAGCCATTTAATCGAAAGCCACACCAAAATAGACAGCGAGTCCTTCTTTGCGCATGTGGCATCGCAGAGTAGACCACGGAGGACAGAACAGAGCAGTCAACAATTCCGCCCCTCTGCTGAATGACTAATGACATGCAAGCAGGACATCAGTCAGCCGAAACATTGCAACTAATACAATGGGAGGAGAAGACCTGAAAACATTCAATCAGATAATCATCACAACAACCCTGGTCTCTAGTCTAAAACCACACCAACTAGGAAGAGAATTTGCCAAAGCCCTTTACTGCACATAGTTGCTTCTATGCTCTATTGACTTCCAAGTCCCTGATAAAGAATCACCTTTGTACCGAGCCACAGTATTGATGTGTGGAGAATCTACTTGATGAATCACGCGAAAAAAGCAGGGTCAGTGACTGTTGGTGTTTTACAGGGACAAAAATAGGCCCTGGCTCTGTCATTAGTGAGGAGGCACACAAACAGCCTGCTGCTGCTGCTGCTTAGGAATCCAAACCTGCTAGCAAATATGAAAAATGATCCCCCGCCATGATGGTGCAGACTCTTCATGTGACTGCAAAAGTAGCCTGCCAAAATACAGGCAGGCAGTGGAAGAATTCAGTTCACTGCCTCCAGCAGCAGCCTGGGCATGAGCTCAGCTAAACCAGACCAGACAAGGTGTTCTCCTGGTAAACTGGGTGATTCTCATGAAACCAGTTTTAACCATGGCAGTAGCAAATTGAGTTAGAAAACCATGATGCATCTGCAACTATTAACCATCTATCATTCTGAAGAGTGTTTTGGTAGTACCCAATTTGCTAACTACCATCAGGTCCTAATGGCCTGGTACTTAGGGCTCTATTGTCCCCTCCAATCACTGTGACATCAATGCAAATACAATCGAAAATCACATCAAACACTTATAATCAAAACACTATCTTCCTTTTACAAAACTCACCTCACTGTGATGATCAATTTGAAGAACTACAACAGCAGGTTAAAAGTGTAAAACATGGTTGTTGTGGATGTTGTTTCAAAGCCTAACACAACGAAATGGACAGCGTTTTCTAATGTGATAATTAATTCAAAACACCCATAGCATATTAGAGCTTATGCATAGGCTTACGAGCCCAAGCCAGAAAGAAAAACCTGAAATAAAATTATGATTGTACTGTTATATAGCCTACTGCATATTACGCATGGCAGAAAAACATACAACAAAACTGATTTAAGATGTCTTTGGTACATAATTGGTCTAGCCTATACAAATTCAAGTAATCACCTTTGAGTGTGGACTGTATTATTATGCATACTGAATGGACTGGTTACCTTATGCTATGGTGGAAAATGTATATCCATGAGTATGGGAGAGAATGTATAGCCCTAGGCGATGCTGTTGGCTCGTTGATTTTGCAGGGCAGCTTAAAGTTCGCCTACAATGAGTACATTTGTATTTGATTTTGAATAGCCTAGTAATAGGGTATTGTTTATATTTTCATAATTAATTGGGTGATACATTACCTTTAGCTATACAGAATATCTCACCACCATGCATTTCCATCTCCTCCTCTCTCTCCTTTATTCTTTTCTAGAGCATGCAGACGGGCTGTCAACAGTTTAGTGAAATATGTTTAGTTGTGAAAAACATGTTACTACTGATGTTCCCGAACAGATTTCACTTGGTTTCCCTAATTAAGCACTTGGTATCTGCAGGAACAAGGTTGGAGAGCCCATGGCATACAGAGTGCGGACGGAATATCACCTGTTCGGGGCAGGGAGAGCATGCTCCTCAAACACTGGTTGATGCTTGGAGTGAATTAAGTGTTCTTATATTTATTTCTCAGCTGCTCATCTTAAGCACATGCTCGGCTATTAAAAACGAAGTAGCCTACAAAACGGACCGGCGGAAAGCGTGCAGCCTCCATTCGCTATTCGAGTGCATACAGATGACATGTATTTTCCCCCCTGCCCCTGTTCCTGCCCATTTGATAATGGGCCATTCTAATTAGAAACTAATTTGACATATTAGTAAAGATTAGATTCAATTGAGAATAGTCTGATGTGTGAAAATATGATCACTTGAGAGAACAGAGCGCAAGCTCTTTTTTTGCTACTTTCTCAAATCATCAATAGCCTATAGTTGCAACATGCAGCCCATATATGTTTTGATTTCTAAATTGCCAAATAACTCTAAATCTAGCATATTGGACCAGTTTCAAAATATCACTTTTACGCTACACATAGCCACTTCATATGCGCACTCGCTCTGTAATGGGAAAATTATCATTTTTATTTTATTCAGCTAAGTTAAATGATATTCTTCTTACTATAAAATCATATACATTTAAATAATGGCACGGGGCATAAGCATATCTTGTCAGCTAAATGAACAAGCCTACAGCCTATGGAATGGAGCATAGCCAGATAACATAGGCCTACAGTAGGCCAACTCATATTCTGTTCTTCTGAAATACATTTTCTTCATATCATGTTTCTTTAGACCTGACTAAAATAAAATATTGGATGTATTGTGATGGTGTATATTACATTGATTAATTTTTTTATTTTTTATGTAGATGTTCCAAAGGCACGAATCAGCAGCTTGTATGCGTGGAGATGCTAAACATGTTTATGTTAATTAACGGTCAATTACCGGGAGACCGGCAGGCTTTTGCATGACAATAACTGGCTGACAAAATGTCATGACCGCCACCGGCCTAGGCATGAATGGACTTTAGTGATGTGATCAATTGTTTGCCGACTCATAATGGCTGTCTCCTATTACTTGCAGATTGAGCTAAGGGCCTCTCAATACTGAAAATATACATTTCTCATACTGCATAATTTTTTAGGTCCGTTTTGGTAATGAGAACCTTAATTTCGGTAATGATAATAAGCAAATTCTAATGTATAGTCAATGGGTGTGCTATGCTGCCAACTTTAATTATTTACTAGGACCACTGCTTACACCTATTGTATAGATTTTTGAAAAATATCAGTTATTTGATTAAGTAGGGGTTGTCAAGAAATATGGGTGTATAAACCCCATTTGAATTGACTTATAGCCACAATCTGGAGTTTGTTTTTCAGCAAAGAGCAACCCCTCCAATTAAAGGAGGATATTTTATTTTATTTTTTATGTAACCTTTATTTAACTAGGCAAGTCAGTTAAGAACAAATTCTTATTTACAATGACGGCCTACACCGGCCAAACCTGGACGACGCTGGGCCAATTGTGCGCTGCCCTATGGGACTCCCAATCACGGCCAGTTGTGATACAGCCTGGAATCAAACCAGGGGGTCTGTAGCGACGCCTCAAACACTGAGATGCAGTGCCTTAGACCGCTGCGCCACTCGGGAGCCCAATCCCCCATTGTGACATGTACCTGTTTTAGCACTTACCTATACTGTTGTTTGATTTCCCAAGGCAGTCTTGGTCCATACCCCACATATTTAGATACTTTATAAGCATATCATGTCATACCATTTGCCCAAAGGGTTCCATTCAATTTAGAAATACATCTAAAATACCTTTGAACCACACATATCCACGTCCTAATACACCAATATTACCTGTTAAGACCTTAGAGAAATTACCTTTTCTAAAAAAAAAGAAAGTCACTTTTTTATGCTTAAGTCCACATTTGACTTTTGAAAATACATATACTTATGCTAAAATAAGGGGTATTTTTGTCAATTGCATTAAAATCAGTGATTTTAGTATTATGCAAGTAATTAACAAATTACAGTTTGATGTATCGGGTTACTGAATCTCTAATAGAGCTCAGTACAGTTTTTCAATGGCAAACTACGCAACACTCCGAAAAATGCAGTCTCATCTCCGAAACCTGCTTATGATTACCGGAATGCACCAATATTAAGGAAATATTCAGAAAAATAAAATGTATACTTTAGTAATTTTGACTTAATCTGATAGTGCGGCTTTTGTTCTTTATCCTTTATCCAAATATGTGTACATATAAATAACATGTATACACAAGTAATCACAAAAAAACAAGATTCAGAAAAGTTTGTGTTATTACATTTTAATGTAATTTTACATGTATTCGTTTTCAGTGTTATGTTTAACCTTTACATTAGATGAGCAATGTTCATTTTTTTTAGAAATAGATTTGTTTTACTTTTTTTGACTTTTTTGCATTGGTAGTAGTGGAAATTGTGGTAAAAATGCATAATATCTGATCAATAAACATAATAATTATTAAATAGATAAATACAGATCCTAATCTTAGTTATCC